CTCGTTCAGGTGCACACTAAAACCTTCAACATCCTCGTTCAGGTGCATACTAAAACCTTCAACATCCTCGTTCAGGTGCACAGGTTTTCAGCAAATTATTTCAAAAGAAGAATATGTTCATAAAAACCAGCACAGACTTTTTTGTCACTTCCTCCTTCAACAGGATGTAGGCGGTGATGCGATCACAACCTCAACATGGTAATTGTGTCCAATCAGAAGTCCATTTATTGATTGGTTCTAATTAGTGGACTAAATTTCTTCACATAATTTTTTCACTACAAAAATAATTCCCTGATGATTCTTTCGGTTCATGTGTGATTCCTCTCAGCTGCATGCAGGTGGATGATATTATCACAATGTGGGCCACAATGAGTCACAAGTTCTGCTTGTATGTCTGTCTTTTATTATTATTAATTTCCCGCTTAAGCAAAAAATTCCTGAAATTATAGAGAAAGATTTTTCATTCCTGTCAGTTATAACAACATCTTACTCACCAACTTCAGCTTTACAAGAACTGTATCCATCAGCAAAACAACAGATAGATTTCCCTCTCAATGAAAGTGAAACCACAGGAGGACATTTCTCCCAAACCACCTGTTGCACCTGATCAACACACTACAGGTGTGTGTGTTTATAACCTGATTAAAGTTGGTGAGTAAAATGTTCTCATAAGTGATGGAATGTAAACAAAAAGCATGAAAAGCAGTAGTTTGTGTGATAACAGGTAGTTTATGTTGCAGCTCTCTCCGTACGATAACCTCCTCCTCTGCCAGCCGGTCTCCTCTCCTCTCCCTCTCAGGTCAGCACAACTCTCAATACATGTCTTTCAAGGTTTCAAGTCTCAGTTACAGAGATTCCTATGAACAACATTAAAAAGTAAATCTCAGCTCCTCAGTCACGCTAAGGATGAGACGGAACTAAAAAAATATATCTATATATATATTTAGTACACGACTGTGTCATTGGCATACAGGTGGTACTTGCAGAATCTGAACCTCTCACATATATTGTTAATGTAAACTAGAAAAGGTAAAGGTCCCACAATGGATCCTTGTGGAATGCCTTCACTAGAGCGACTGTAAGTCTGTTATCCATCTTTTATGTATTTATTAGTACTACTTTAAAAATAATACAGTGATCGCCGTCCAGTTTATGAACAATATATATGTGTGTGTGTGTGTGTCACAGTGGTGCCAGCTTCCTGAAGCTCCTCCAGAACCTCGGTCCAGAGAACACCTGCACGCTGCTGCTCGCCGTCCTCACCGAACACAAACTGTTGCTCCACTCGTTGCGTCCCGACGTCCTGACCTCCGTCAGCGAGGCCCTCGTCTCCGTAAGTCTCCACATATATTATGATATTGTAATTATTATGCATTAATGAGGTCATCACTTTAATGGTGCAGCTGATAAGAATGGAGCTCATTTTATATATATATACTATAATACTTTATATACTGCTGGTAGTTTCATCTGTAATAATACATCATCATTTATGAGTTGATTAATAATCTGAATCTGTGAAGTAACTAAAGCTGTAAAAGTACCTTTACTCTGAGATGAAGTAGAAGTATGCAGAAGCAGAAAATGGAAATACTATGTTTAGTACAAGTACCTCAGAACTACTATCTTTCCACCACACACACACACACACACACACACACACACACACACACACACAGTAACACTGGTCCCTCTAACCCTGGTGTCTCCTGGTCTCTCCTTGTCCCTCTAACCCTGGTCTCTCCTGGTGTCTCCTGGTCTCCCATGGTGTCTCCTGGTCCCTCTAACCCTGGTCTCTCCTGGTGTCTCCTGGTCCCTCTAACCCTGGTCTCTCCTGGTCCCTCTAACCCTGGTCTCTCCTGGTGTCTCCTGGTCCCTCTAACCCTGGTATCTCCGGTTCCTCTAACCCTGGTCTCTCCTGGTCCCTCTAACCCTGGTCTCTCCTGGTGTCTCCTGGTCCCTCTAACCCTGGTCTCTCCTGGTGTCTCCTGGTCCCTCTAACCCTGGTCTCTCCTGGTCTCTCCTGGTCTCTCCTGGTCCCTCTAACCCTGGTCTCTGTGTCTCCAGATGAGCTTCCCCCTGCGGTGGCTGTGTCCCTACATCCCTCTGTGTCCGCTGCAGATGGCCGACGTTCTTCTGGCTCCGATGCCGTTCATCGTTGGGGTTCACTCAAGCTACTTCGACCTGTACGACCCCCCCACTGATGTGGTCTGTGTGGACCTGGACACCAACACCATCTTCCAGTGAGTCCGTCACTGCAGGGCTGTGTTTATAAACCTTACACACAGATATATGTATATATTAGTGCTGGCCAAGTTAACACTTTACTATCGTGTTCATTCATTAAAGCCGACAATTATTTTATTGCGCGTTAACGCAGTTTTTTAAAAATTTATTATTAAGCGACATTTTTAACACAAGAACCAGGTAGCGAGCGGTGAACAGCTGTTTGTGTGACGTCACTTCCTCTCTCCCCCTGCTCAGCAGGATTATATATATA